GAATAGTTTTCCTTCTCTGCATCGTATAATCTTGTAAGTTCTATTAAGGTTCATATGACCCTGCAATAACACTTCTGGGAATATATCCCGAGGGTGCAAAAAAAGCACTGTATAAATGACATCTGCACCTGTATGTTCATTGCAGCACTGTTCACGATAGCCAGAATCTGGAAGCAACCTGAATGTCTGAGAACAGATGAGTGGTTAAAGAAACTTTGGTACATCTATACAATGAAATACAATGCAGCTGTTAGGAAAGATGAAGTCATGAAATTTGCTTATAAGTGGATGGTCATGAAGACTATCATGCTAAGTGAAATGAGTCAGAAAGAGAGGGACAGACATAGAATGACTCCACTCATTTGTGGAATATAAAATAACATAATATGAGACTGACACCCAAGGACAGTAGACACAAGGGCCAGGAATATTACTGCATGATTAGAAGCCTGCCTCATGAGCTAGGGGAGAAGGCAGCTGGAATAGAGAAGGAATCACTAAGTAAATGATGGTTGGAGGGATCGCTCAGGATGGGAGATGTGTGCTGAAAGTAGATAAAGGACCAAACATGTAGCCTCTCATATCTGTATTGGAAACCATAATGCCCAAAAGTAGAAAGAGAGTCTGGCCATAGAGGCAGGCGGAGGGTTGGATGTAGGGGGGATACTTGGTATATTGGTGATAGAAAATGTGCACTAGTGGAGGGATGGGTCTTCAATCATTGTATGACTGAAACTCAAACATGAAAGCTTTGTAACTGTATCTCACAGTGAGATAGTTTATTTCTTAATAAAATTTTTTTTAAATCTTGTAAGTTCCAATGTACTAAATAGTATACTCACTTTGCTTATGAATGGAATGAGAAAATAAGTTAAAAGGTAGAACATTAAAAAAAATGTTGGGGCTAGAGCGATATTACAGTGGGTAAGGCACTTGCCTTGCATACGGCCAACCTGGGTTCTATCCCCAGCATCCTATATGGTCCTTCAGTGCTGCCAGGAGTAATTCCTGAGTGCAGAGCCAGGAGTAACCTCTGAGCATTGCTGGGTGTGACCCCCCCCCCAAAAAAAAAAAAGAAATAAATGACATTTTTGCCTAAAAAAAAAAGAAGAGAAGGTTTTCTTTGATCTCACTTCCATAGTGAATATTATCAAGTCTATGACCATTCAGCACACTCGAACCCATAGCTGTGTCGAGAAATTAATAATGCTGGGGAGACAATAAGAAGTCACAAATTACTTTGTATTTACACACACACATGCAACAAAAATAGATTCTGTAAATAACTACAACACCAGATTACACTTTTGGCCTACTTCTGCCTCTTTAAAGGGCAAGAATTTACTTTTTAGTTTTCCTGTGTTTGAATTTTGAAGCAAGAAGAAAACGGGGACAAGTAACCACTCTCATGATGCCTGCAGCTCAGACCTGGTCTAACTGCGCAATAACTGTGTTGGATGAGCATCCCCACAGGCCCTGGGAGATGCAGCCTTGCACTCTGCAGAAAGGGGGTCACGGAGCAGTGGAGATGGACATCTAACCAGCAGGTCTGTTTGTGGTCCAGTAGAAGACTTTGCACTGTTACATTTATCTCTTGATTCCGTCTGTTATAAAGATGATTTCTCCCTTGAATTGGCTCCTGAATTGTAAAGAACTCCTGAATTGCAAAGAACAGTTCTTCGGTAAAATGATCTTTACCTAAATCATCAGTAAAAAAAAATAATGATCAAATATGTATACTAAAATATCCAAGAGTTGTGAAAAGCTTGGTCTTAAATCCAGTACTGGAGCTGGAAAGATAGTACAGTAGGTGAGGTGTTTGCCTTGTATGCAGCGACACTGGGTTCAGCCCTCGGAAATCCATAAGGTCCCTCAAGCCCCACCAGGAGTGATTCCTGATCACCTAGCCAGGAGTAATCCTGGAGCACCACCAGGTATCCATCCCATGCCCTCAACCACACACAAAATTCTAACACTTAGATAAATAAGTGTTACTGTCGAGAAAAGTAGGAACTGTTCCTGACCTCTATGGAATGCAACCTTGCAAAAAAGCAAAACTAGAAGGAGTTCAGGAAACCATGAGCACTGTAGAAACCATATTCATCCGCAATCAGAGTTCATCCAGTCCTGACCCTACTGATGGAGCAGAGCGCTGACTCAGAGAGTGGCCTGGGAGCCAGGTAACACGGGCTAAGGCTGTGGCTGAGGGGTGGAACACAGGTCTCTTATGTGTGACCCCTGGGGTCCAACCACAAGTAACACTGGGATGACCCTGGGGCTGCACAAAAAGCCAAGAATGTACTCACGGAGGACGATAAGGGAAAGCCAGGACCTGGGGCTGAGAAGCACCAAGCATTCTGGCTCAGGCTCATGGGACTTGGTTGCTTAGAAATGGCTTCTCCTCACCAGGAAATGTTAGCCCTCCATCACCTCAGGTTAGCTGGAGTCGAGCCATCTGTTAGGAGACTAGAGACACATCTTTTCTCCAGTAGACTTGGAGTTTGATGGTCTGGGGACTGAATTCTGTTGCTCTGACACTTGTCAGCTGTGTGTGACCTTGACTAAGTCTCTTAATCTCTGAATCACAGTTTCTCTATATGAGATGGAGTAAAGACTGGCTTAAGAGATGGGCTTGGAAGACTGCTGCTGGGTTGGCTCAGACTCAGCCCTCATTTTACCCTTTAATCTTTTTGTAACTAAGACCAGCACAATATTTGGCACCTTACATTCCTCATTTTCTTTTTTTTTTGTTTTTGTTTTTGTATTTTGGGTCACATCCTGCAATGCTCAAGGGTTACTCCTGGTGGTGTTCAGGGAACCATATACCATATGGGATGTCGGGGATCAAACCTGGGTGAGCCGCGTGCAAGGCAAACACCCTATCCACTGTAATATCACACCAGCCCCTTTCCTCATCTTTAGATAATGCTGATGGTAGAGCTGCCTGTACAGAGACATTAGGAAGATAAATGAGTTAATATACATAAAACACTTGGAATAATGCACACCACTGAGCAAGCAGGACATTAGGGCTCACTACAATAACACTGGGATAACTGTGCTCATCTCAGATTTATTTTGCAATTAACTACAACTTAAATGATGTAATGGGGGGGATCACAAGTTATCAGTGCTGGAAGGAACCTTAAAATTATCCACATACATCCCATAACCCCTAGTTTTCTAAGTAAGAAATTAAGACTCAGGGATTGGGAGGAACTCATTGAGTGTGACACATGACTTAAGCATAAAGTCCAGGTCTCCTGATTCTAAATTTGAAGCTTCGTTTTTCATCTTCAAAGAAAACGTCTCCTCAAGGTGAACCCTGGAGGCCCCTTTCATAAAAAAGTCCTTGGATAAGTTGCTAGTTAACGCACCTTCCTGACCACATGCTGCATTTGAAAGTGAGAGGAAACTTGGGAGAGGGGCACTCTTCCCCATTTCCCCACCAAGATATAAGGGTGGTGTGACAGCTAAGAGGAGGGGAGGGAGCTAGGAACTGAGGCAGGCCTGGAAAAAATAATTTGAGGGAATCACTTGCCAATGCAGGTCACTCTAGTGGCTGCAAACGAGATATCTGCCCATGTCCCAACAAACTACTGTCTGTTTCTGATGCCAGCAAGTTTTTTTGTTTTCAGGTATTTCATGAAGTGTCTTTCACCAGGAGAGGCGTATTCTGCCATTTGGAAGAAACTAGAATTCAGCTCCGGGACAATGAGGTTGCAACTGGAACCTCTAAGTCCAGCCTTCCAGGTGTTTTTCAGGGTCCTGGCCCCTTAGATTCCTTCTGCTTAGAATCCCATTTCCCAGATTGTACTGTTCAGGAGGTAGGGCAAGCTGGGCTGGAGGCAAGGACAGGATGGGGAGACGGCCCTGTGAAGAGGGTCTGAGGGAATCAGAACTGTCTGGCTTAGAGAATGACAGAGCTCAGGAATCACGGAGGTGTCTGTTCTCAAGTCAATTAGGGATGTCTCACAGCAGAGGGAGCCAAGAACTGGGGTACTCTCAGAGCAGGCACAAATGGGGCGGGAAGGAGGCAGTTTTTCCCTCATGGCAGAGAATGCTTTCTGATTAGGAGCTCAGCCCAGTGCTGGTGTGCACAATGACATGCTTCTGAAGAAAGTTCTGGTGGTGAGGCGTGATCCCCAGTTGTCAGAGACCTGGGAATCAGAACTGAGCAGTGAGCGGAGGTAATATTTGGGATTCCACCAACTCTCCACATCTCCAGATTCTGGTAGCCAATTTCAGAGCTCCCAGAATTAAGAACCAGCTGGAAGACAGTCACACCAGAAACCCCGTCCTCTTTCTCTTTGTCTCTCTTGAGCACCCTTGCTCGGTCCTACAGCAGGAACCTTTGACATTTTGCAGGGGATAATCTTTTTCTGCTAAGTGTGTTTCTGACTCAGCCTTTGCTCCTTCGGCATCATTAGCGTCTGAGCTCTCCAGAGATTAGCTCAGGCCTGTCACCACAGCAACTGCCCAGGCCCCGTGGGCCTCCGTGGTAACAGGCACAGGTCGCTGAGAGCCAAAGCTTGACTGTGGTGAGAGGAAGCCCCACAGGGAGCTTGGTATGAAACAAGCATGTTCGGTTTAAGAGGTTTTCTTTAATAGGATTAGCAATGCACATGGGTTTCACTTTACATAGTTGGCAGGTGCCTGTCAGAATTTGTGTGTGTGCGTGTGCGCGCGCATGTGTGTGTGTGTGTGTGTGTGTGTGTGTGTCACTTGGTCAGTGGAGAAAATCTTATTTTAAAGGCGGGAGAGACTCACATTCCAAGTCCCTGGAGTGAACCCCCTTTGAAAAATGACGTCTTCTTCCCACTGTTGACTCCCCTCCTCCCCACTGCACTGTGGCTCACACCGTTGGTCCAGTGCTAAGCCTCTGTGAGTGGGGGCATGCGCAGAGAGCCTGAGGGCAGGCCGGCACCTCAGCTGCAGGCAAAGAACATCGGCTTGCTCGGGACTGGGGAGGACAAGATGTAACAGGGAAAAGCGGACTGGGTGGGGTGCCAACAGTGAGGGGTGCAGGGAGGATGGGCCTTGCCTAGCATGAGCAGTTTTGCTGCAGCAGTGGTGGGGTGTCGGAGAGGCGCGTGTTTTTGGAGGCGCCCAGCACGGAGGGGTCTGTGTCCAGGGAATCAGACATCTTGTCACAAATGGCATCCACCAGGCGCTCAAAGGCCTGCCTGACGCTGATGTTCTCCTTGGCGCTGGCTTCAAAGAAGTCAAACCCTGGGAGGGGGGCGGAGGATAGAGAGAGAGAGAGAGAGAGAGAGAGAGAGAGAGAGAGAGAGAGAGAGAGAAAGAGAGACATGAGAATGTGCTCTTCTCTTTCAGGGCTCCCAGATGAAGCGCTGTGCCCAGCTTCACAGCCAGGAGACTCGGTTCCACGGACAAAATACCACAGGCCCCTGGCTCTGCCTCCTGGCTGTGAGCCCCTGTCAAGTCACCTCTTCTCTTCATGATTCAGTTCTCTGGTTTAGAAAAGGAGCTGACTCTTGCTACCTCACTGAATTATTTCCAGAATGAAAACAAGATGGTGCATGGGAAAGGCATAGAATAGACCCCCGCTCGACACAGAGGCAGGTTATTCAGAGTTTACGGAAGGAGTGAAGATGTGTCCATGTCTTCAAAACAACTGCCACATCCATGAGCTACTGGGCTTTGCGTGTCATTCCTGGGGGAAAGGGGGCCCAGCAGTCTGCTCTGTCCCCTAAGACAGACACCACGAGGGCCTGGATGAGCAGCCCAGACTGGCCTTTCTGAGCGGTGCCCTTCCACCTCTGCCCTGCCCCCACTCACCCCGCCTGGACTTCTCCAGTTTTCACTCTGGGAGGAACCCAAGATCTGTGCTGAATAAGCCTGGCTTCATTTGTCCTTCCCACCCAAAGGGTGCTGCTTTATGGCCTCAATTAGGTCTCTCCTTCCGGAACTCCTCAGCAAATTACTTTCGGTTCTCCCTTCCCACACAAACCCAGTTCAAAATCCCCCAGGGCAAATCGTACCTGAGTGTGAAATATTTTTATCTATTTTGTACCTCAAGATCCCCATAACACTTTCTGTGACAATGAACAGAACTTGGCTGTCCCAAGAGACACCAGAAAAGAAACTGTAGTACAGCGGGGAGGGCACTTGTCTTGCACAGGTTCAATCCCTGGTATCCCATATGTTTCCTTGAACACCACCAGGAGTGATCCCTGAGTGCAGACCCAGGAATAAACCCTGAGCATCACCAGGTGTGGCCCAAAAACAAAAACAAAAACAAAGAAAGAACAGAAGGAAGGAAGGAAGGAAGGGAGGGAGGGAGGGAGGGAGGGAGGGAGGGAGGGAGGGAGGGAGGGAGGGAGGGAAGAAGGAAGAAAGGAAGGAAGAAAGAAAGAGAGAGAGAGAGAAAGAAAGAAACAAAGAAAGAAAGAAAGAGAGAGAGAAATTCTCCTGGCTCAGTGTGGTTGCTTTCCTTAGGGTGGTCTTGATCATTCTGTGGGGCTGGAGCAAACCCGAGCTGCCTCCTGCATCGTCTTGCCCAGCCTCCTCCCTTCTCTTCTTTCTGTCTGCCTTCCTTATCCTCTTTCTTCCTAGTCCATCATTATTTCTCCTCCAAAGCCTCTCTCTTCTTTTTTTTTTTTTAAAAACTGTGGCTTTTTCTTTTCCCTGATGGTTCTCATATTTTCTTGGGATTGTTAATAATTACTGAGCACCTACATATGTCAAACACAACGCTAGGAACTTAACAGAGATCTTACTTAATCCTCATAATAGCTTTCTAGATAAATACAATCAGCTCCGATTTATATATGAAAAGCACAGACTCCAAAGAGATACCATGGTCACATGACCATGTTAGTGGACATCAGGTTTAGATCTGGGTTTGGCCAGCTCCGAAGTCCAGGCACAGCCCTGACTCCCACTTCTTTCTTTATGCTCCTTTCACTCTTCTGTAATCCCCCACCCAAATGGGACTCCCACCCCTTCCCTTTACTCATCTCTTTGGCCCCTTTGCTTGAACCTTCCAACCACCACAGTGTCTGATTCTGGGCAAGTCACTACGTCTTTCTGACTCACTTAACCTCTCTGAGTATCACACTCCTGTCAACTCGGCCTAACACTGTCTTCCTGTGAGAAGCGTTGGGAGGACTGAGTGAGATGATGGGCAAATTGTTGTAGGAAACTTTTGCCCGTGATGAGTTTCTTTGAGTTTTTCTTTCATCTTGCTCCTTCAACTTCCTCTTTATCCTTATTACTTTCTGTCCCAAAGGAGGAGGTCTCTTGTCTCCTTTCTCCCTCTCCCTTGCTCTCCAGGGTTCCCAGAGCGGGCTAATGGCCCAGGGCATACGTGGCTCCTCTGTCCTGGCCTTCCCGCTGCCAGCCTGCGTCTGGCCCATTTCCCAGTCTGAGGAGGAGGAGCGCACTGTGCCTGCTCTGGCAGCCTGTGAAGACGGAGGCAGCCACCACCGTGCTCATTATGCTCAGGCCTTAGAAACCCAGCAGGCTTCAGAGACCTGCCAGCATGTGGCTCTCCCTAATGACTAACAGGGAAATGGACTCGCTGGCCTTGGGCTTTTCACATGGTGACACTGTCTGTGCTGGAGGAAGGGAATTTGTGACTTGCCTGAAAGGATACACAGGTAAAGATGTAAACTCGCTCTCTCCATCAGTGTGACTGGTGACAAGGCCACGAATCTCTCTGAGGAGCTGGCACTGAGGGGCGTGTGCCACCCTGGGAGGGGGATGCAGAGGAGAGAGGCCCAGGAGGCAGAGCGCCAGGGCTGAGGAGAGTCTCTGTGAGACCCACCGAGCGTGAGAGCCTGGGCTGCTACTGGCCGCTCTCACCCTTCTGTTGAATGGAGTGAGTCTTCCATCTCGCAGGTTCGTGAGAGCTCAGGGCCCAGAAGCATGTAAAGTGACTGGCCTGTGGGAAGCACGGCAGTTGTCCCAGGAGGTTTCCAGCCCAGCCGAGTCCCGTCTCTCACTCCTTCACTGCTCCTGGCCTTCTGGGAATCATCTTCCTCAGTGTTCGGAGATCTGGGGCCACTCCTGGCAGAGCTGGGGTGCCTGGGCCTGTCCATGGAAAGCATGTGCTCTGCTATCGAGTCAAGTCTCTGGTCCCTAAGCAGATTTTGAAATCTCACTTTGTGTCAGGTCTTGTACTAAGTGTCAGCACAAACATAGTAGTGAAGAAAAGACATTTATTATGGTGTCCATCACATGTATGTATATAGTCTTTAATTCATACACAAAAAATTAAAATAACCTGTGAGGAGAATGGGGCAAGCAAGAATGATCACACATAACTTATATACGGGGAAACTTAGGCTCCGAGATGCGCTATAAGCCAAGGCTCTATGCTTCCCCCTGGCCCTTTGTTTCATTCTCAGCTGGAACAGTGACAGTTCGGACAATAACATTTCTGATCTGGGTAGATCAAAACCAGAAATCATATAGGAAGGCAGTGCAGGAGACAGAGAGGGGCAGATAAAGGAGGAAGCATCTAGAAGTTATCATTAGGACCCAGCTGAGACATGTCCTCTTCACTCTGCTCTGTGCTCCCCTCAGAAGAGCATGTAGAAGTCCCTCTGAGAGGCAGCTCCCGGCCAGAGTCCATGTTTTTATCTCAGCCTGAGCTCAGTGGAGGAACAGATGCTGTGGGTGAGTGTTGGCTAAGCGAGCAGGTTAGTGAAGATAGCATGGGGATGCAGGTGAGGAGATGTGGATAGTGGAGGTGGTGAGAATGCCACTCAACAAGATGGTAGGTTCTGGGAACACTGAGGTGAATCACAGTTTCTATCCTTGAGGAGAATTACTCTATTGTGGGGGAGACAGGCTAGTACTACTATTTTGAAAAATAGAATGGAGGCATCCAGGAAATGAGAAGGGCACAGAGGTGACACCTGACAGTCTGCGTGTAGGGAAGCCTTCTCGGAGGAGCTACTTCATGAGCAGTTATTAGCTAAAGGCATGAGCTTGTGGGTGTCTTTGTGAGCACGATATCAAGCAAAGGAAACAGCATGAGTACACATAAGGGGCCAAAAAACCAACCTTGGTACATGCTAGAAAAATCATGGTAGTTTGTAATTTGTTACCTAGTTAGAGCATGGACCTCAAAGTGGTGAGAAATGAGGCAGAAAGTTGCCAGAGACCGAGAGATGGAATGGCATCCAAAGAGATGGCTTCACAGTCAACTCAACAGCACCCGTGGTAGAAAACACTCCGCCACAAGTAGCCAGCCCGTGGGTCTTTTTTTCTAGCATCAAAGTCTCCAAGCACCCCGCCCAATTCCCGTCAGACTTCCTCGGAGGCTGTTCATTAGCACACCCACATTATAACCTTTTCCTCAGGATCATTAAAAATTTCTCAGGAGCTGAGAATCCAGTGAGGTCAGGAAAATGACAACCAATTAATCAGACTAGCCTCTAGTCCTATCATCCTTCTAATTGGCTTCAAACAATAGATTTTCTGCTATCTTTAATGGGGACCAATTCTCGACTGAATCGGAGATGCCCACTCCCCACTCCCTCCACCCCACACTCCAGAATGATAGGATTTACCTAACTGGTCCCAAGGCACAGGTCCAGCAGCCACGCTGCCTGCTTCTGAAATCTATTTAGAAGCTTTCAACCAGTCAAACACACTTCTCATCCCAACACTGCCCCGGAACTTCTCTGTTTTTAATGTTAGAATTCTTTCTCCATCCTATTACTCAATTCACAGTCTGCTGGTCACTGATGATGATGGTGGTGGTGGTGGTGGTGTAGTGGTGGCAATGGTAGTGGTGATGGTGGTACTGTATGTGTGGTGTGTGTGTGTGTGTGTGTGTGTGTGTGTGTGTGTGTGTGTGTGTACTGAATCCGGAGCCTACCACATGAAGGTGGAGCTCAGCTGCTGAGCAATATTCCTGGTCAGCTCAGTAATGATTCTGGTGAGGGTTCACTGTATTCCCTTCTACTCCAGGCTATTCTCATTCTCAGGAACTCTCGGTTTTCTGCGGACAATCCATCTAACACCCTGGCCTTTTAATTTCCTGACAATCTCATCTCCAGTGACCTTCTCTTCCATTTTGCTTCTGCTATAACTCTGCCCTTATAACTTGAATTAGTTTGACTTGGATTTATGTCACTGGAACTAAAAGAGGTCTAATTAATGCAATATGTAGCCTCATTTAACACATCTAAGACCTGCCTGATTTGATCTCTGTCTCCTTCCCAGCCTTCTTTCCTGGCTCAGTCTATATTCCA